TGTCTGTATCAGAAAGTCATAAATTCTCCGCTGCCTTCCGTTTGTTTACACCTCCCGTTTCCCGCCAAACAAACTATAGATTTCCCCTGAGAGGGCTATTTCATTCCCTCATGCTTTATGGCCACAACCAGATGGGAACAGTCAGAACACAATTTTGAAAACAGCATGTTTGCACAAAGGAGAGTAGCCTTGTTGAAATGACAAATAGACGATGGTCAAAACTAGCATGTACATCATGATGGTTATTTTTGTGAGGAAAAAAAAAAGTGAACCATTTCCCATACAAGCACCTGTTTGAAAATTTCATTTTAATTCATTCTTTGTTTCGGGGCAAATGTAGTCATAGAAATGGATTATTCAGATGCGAGTCAATATCACATTAAAGTGGTTTTGGTTTCCTTATCAAAATCACTCTGGCATAATGAAAATACAGCAGAATAACAAGAACACTCTTATTATATTCGATTTGTTTGTATTTTAATTATATACAGTTTGCAAATATTGGTTTGGTTGCAACCTTATGCTCCAAGATCAGCGATCACTTCCCTCCAAGAACATCCTGTTTGAAGCCTTACAATGGAGAGGTTTCATTTGACAATAAAGTTGTCCTTGACTTGATTTATTTTTCAATTTGTAAAGCGCGGGTTTCAAACTGCGGTCCTCGAAAGCAGCTCTCCTGCACGTTCCGCTTCTCCGACACATCTGATTGAAATGAGCATCAGCAAGCTCCGTGAGACCTGATAACAATCCTAATCATTTGAGGCAGGTGCGTTGGCGGAGGGAAACATCTAAAAACATGCAGGATAGGGGCCCTCGAGGAGGTGACAACATCCTGAACTGGTCGCCAGCCAACCGCAGGGCACAGTCAAGTAGAAAAACAAACGGTGTGAGTGAATGTGTTTCAGTGACTGCATCAAATTATCGTACAACAACTGAGTGCGCATCCTTCGTCGCGTTGCTGAAATTGTAATGGAAGTGGGAATAGTCTGGCATCCTGTTTGTCGATTAAAGTGGGGTGGAAATGAAGGAATGAGTGTGTGGAAATATAGTGTGTGCGTTGTGCGCGCCAACCGTGACCGTGCGAGCTGAGAGAATGCGAGAGGTGCGTAATTGATCACGCGGCGCGGTTTGGAACGTTGCTCTGAGAGGGTGTGTTCAGTGTGCAGAGCGTGCTCCCCTCCCATAGCCAAATAGCCTATTTTTGGGGGGGTGAGTGGTATCAGGTACAATTTCTGGGGTCATCTCGTGTGACGTGATAAATTACAATTGCGCCACAAAAGTTTTGCGCAACTCTTTAGGTGTATGTGTTACTACTTCGAATGTGAGTCCAATTCTAAAATGTGCGCCATCAGGGATAATTGCATTTTTAGAATCAGAATCAGAATCATCTTCATTGGCCAAGTATGTAGAACACACAAGGAATTTGTCTCCGGTACAACACGCTGCATTAGTATCATCATAAACAAGGACATGACAAATAGGTATGGAAGGACATTTCGTAATGTAAGTGAACCGTAGTGCGGTGGGACCACCCAGTGACAACTGTGAGACAATGTGCAAAGTATCAAGCAGAGCTAAAGTGATAGTGGTAGAATACAATACTATGACAGTTTGTACAGTTGGTGCAGAAAATCCAAATTTTAGGTGCCTCTACGCTTAAATTCAAATATGCCCGAGTACATTTGTGATGTTTTTTGATTCAGATTTCAGTGTGCATATAAAATAATTCATTTCCTTATTCAGAAAAAAATGGCATGGGTTTTTTTCTACACCCCCCCACAAAAAAAAAAAAAACTACGATCCTTTAGCAGAGTGCCGATTCCTAAACGATTCAACTCCTCACTTTCATGAAAACATAAATTCAAGTATTCATCCCATCATTACACATACCTGTCACAAGCACATTCTCACTGTATTTGCAACTGATTAACACTGTTTAAATCATGGCTTAAACCAGAGCTCTTTTGTGAGTATTGTGGAGGTGTGCACCTGCTATTTGGGGTTTTATACCCACGTGCCAGAATGTTTTATTAGTGTTGTTTCCTGCTCAGGGGGGCTGACGTATTTCACTGGTGAAGGACATGGCCCTGGCTGTTTATTTCCCATGATGAAATTGTCCACAGGTTCGTGTTGACTGTAAATAAAAAGTTCAATGAGCTTGGACCTCTCCCTTTCCAGTGACTATCCTATCTACTCGTGTAATCATACCAGAACCTTTCAATTGTTCATCAGTTGAAGGACATTACAATCTATATTAATCTGTCTTAATACAACGAGTTAAAAATATCAAAGTTAAGCATCATTTTGTCATTAACTTCTAAATTAGCTTTGATGATGATGAATGTTAATATTATTATTTGTACAGGAGGAAAAAGACACCTCATGAGAATGGGCCGCACAGTTTTCGAAGGTCTCCACTTGGGGGAGTAAGAGTGGAGCAAAAATGTATGAACCCAGCAGAGGTAGCGATGTGGAAGCATTTGGTTTAACCGGCAATTCATGATTTGCTTTTACCTGACTGTGACGGTGATGAATCCAATGCAATCCAAGTTAAACAGCCTGTTTGAAAGTCAGCACTTGAGCAATTAAGTGCTGACTCTGCCATGCATTGCTGAGTGTGCTGTAAATACTACATGTGACTCTCATACAATGGAACGTCTTGACTTTCTGATGATTCATTCTCCAGTCTGATTTTAAGCTCATAAATGGCTGATCAAAGTTGCTTCTGTTGAAATGAGATAACCCCCCTCCCCAAAAAAGTGTCGATAATGATGTGATAACTTTAACTTGGATCTTTGTGGCTGTGCTGACTTGGGCAGTGTTTATCAGTAAAGTCAGTGGGTCAGATAATTGAGTAAAAAGAGACAGATGGTTGCAGCATTTACTGCTGATTACATGGAGGTCATAAAATGCCCTCCAGTAGCTGGGGGTGTCAGGTCCAGGCCTATTAAACTGCCAGAATACGACACCAATGTAAATGCCCTGGCCACAAGGTAGAGGTATTAAAGCCAAAGAACTGGGTCTATTCTTCAGAGAACTAAACAAGGATATAAAGTCATTTCAATGCTTACTGTGTGCAATTCAACATTATCTATCTATCTATCTATCTATCTATCTATCTATCTATCTATCTATCTATCTATCTATCTATCTATCTATCTATCTATCTATCTATCTATCTATCTATCTATCTATCTATCTATCTATCTATCTATCTATCTATCTATCTATCTATCTATCTATCTATCTATCTATCTATCTATCTATCTATCTATCTATCTATCTATCTATCTATCTATCTATCTATCTATCTATCTATCTATCTCTCTTGGTTCTCAAACTAATTGAAATACGAAATAAAGTTATCTTGCATGTCAGTTTTGCATGCTTGATTGAAGATATTTTTATCCATCCATCCATTTTTCCAATCCGCTCACGAGGGTCGCGGGCATGCTGGAGCCTATTCCAGCTGTCTTTGGGCACACATAGACAAATATCCATTCGCGCTCCCAATCACTACTGGGGACAATCTCGAGTGTTCCGTCAACCTGGCGTGCATGATTTTGGAATGTGGGAGGAAACCGGAGGACCCGGAGAAAACCCACGCAGGCATGGGGGAAAAAAATGCAAACTCCACACCTGAAGGCCAGAGCCCGGGTTCGAGCTCATGACCACTCCACTGTGAGGCCAACGCGCTAACCAGTTGACCATCGCGCATGAAGACATTTCCCACAACGTTAACTATTAGATCGTAAGATGGCTTAAACTATTTTGTAGTTAACCCTTTCATGTACAGCGGTTACTACAGTGGACAGCCTATCATGTTATCAAGTTACAGGGTGCATGAAAGGGTTCAAACAAGCACTAGCTCCCTACATAACAAAACACCACCAGCCATTAAATTCATCCACTTATGTGACGTCAGTTGTCGACTGTCTGATCTTCAAATCCATACTGTCAGTCGGTGTGTGATGCAATGTGTTCCGCTTGACCACCTTGTAATGAGGAAATGCCTCTCGTTATATGTCCATTAGGAGGTGACCACGCTGTCTGATGCTAAGAAGCCTCCCCTCCATCCGAGTGTCAGCCTCATGCTACGTGACACGCTCACTGACGTAAGAACATGCACCCATCTGTTTTGCCCGCCTCTGATAAGACTCTATAATCAAGTGCTGGAAATCGTTTAGACCACCCACACTGTTCAGTTCCTGTCTGACCTGTCATCAGATGCTAAATGCTTCTAATCTTTATCCACTTTGCATTCACCACCATTAAAATCCCTAGCTAGCTCACTGCACTGGAAACTCATGAACACTGACTTTGCTCATTTGCTTTCTCTTATCCCAGTCATTTAGCCCTGGCTGCATGTTAGTGTGAAGTGTACACCCGTCACTCTCTGCATTTTTCTCGCAGGCGTTGGTAGTTGGCAGAGCGTCATGGGTCGCATGCAAATACTTTTAGAGTGCACGCCTGATGGATAAATATTTGTTGTGTCTGTTTGAACAGTGATGAGCTCTTTCTTTTTCTTTCGCTCTCGCTGATACAGATCTTGGTGGCTCTGTGCTTACATCTGTTGGCTTGCTGTATGGAAAATGTCCCTCTGGCATTTTCATGTAAAACACACACACACACACACACGCGCACGCACGCACGCACACACACACACACACACACACACACACACACACACACACACAGCTTTCACTCTCCCTTCGCTTGTGGCAAGTCCTCTTTACACCATGAAAGCAGACCGGTGGAAGTAAAATTTTCATTGTTGTTTTAAACATGCCCGTATAGGCTTAATTGTTAAAATATCAAGTAAAAGGACAACTTTTTTTAATCTTAACGTGGAAAAGCTGAGACAGATTTTATGTCAACATCACAACATTGTACTTTCTCCTTTGATGGGGGGAGGAGAAAGCGTGTGAAAAATACACAGCTGTGATTGGTCCAGAGCTCCGCCACTCGACCAGCAAATACTCTCCACTTCCTCTGTCCTCCTTCCCTGGTGCAGCCTGGGAAGAGGGAAGGGGATGAATGTGATCAGTGCGAGTCGCCGGAGCTCCCTCAGCCTGCTCCTTCTTACTTGTCCTTGACGGGACATTCCGGGACGGATAGCGAGTTAGTGTGCGTTGTCAGTTGCTGATGCAAGGGCTAAAGTGCTGATTTGTCCTGGGCATCTTGGAGTGCTCTGATGGGAGGCAGTGCCGGCTCCGGCTGGGACTGGGGATGCTGAGTGTGGGGAGGGAGGGCCTGTTTGAGCTGGGACAGCAGCTCCAGCAGCAGGGGGAGTACCAGGCCGCCCTGCATTGCTTTCTCAGCTGCCTGCTTGGACTGACCCACGTGCAGAGTTTCACCTCTCTGCCCAACTGCCTTCACCAGGTGAACAAGCTTCACATTGTTGTTGTCCCATAAATTGTTATTGTTTGCGTATTCCCCACATGCATCACCCACATCTGACGCCCGGTAAATGTGTGTGTTTGCGTTGAACATGTACACGGTGCTGATTTAAAGAGCACCCTTAGAACTTAAAGGAAACTCGCTATTGTTAAAGAGATACCAATTCCTTCCATTGTGGGATTCACAAGGCCTGCGAGGGATTTTTCTTTTGCTGCTAAGTCCATGAAGGAATGTCCCAGATGTCAAAACATAGTCCACTCCAGACCACGTGAACAGTAACGTGATGATGAGCAGACCGAGGATGCTTCGAGGCGATAACAAATCACTTGTTTGACAACTCATGACATCATCCGGTGTTTTTAACCCTTGATTGTTCTTCTGTGCTTTTCAGATCGCGGAACTGTTCATCACTGAAAAGAACTGTATCCTGTTCAATTTAGCTCTCTTACGTTTACTAGCCCTCGAGAGGACATAGATCATGTACAGAATTCAATACAAATGGAAGGGTTGTAAGGAGAGGGAGTCAATATCTGTTGACAGGTTCATAACGGTACCTTTGTCCTGCAATGATACGGTGTTTGTCTAAAGCTCACGCATTAGTGGTAAGAGGATTTGTAGGCTCTTATCTTGGCACAACAGAGCGGCAAAGTAAACTAATTAACTTGTAGGCTATCTGCACTTGACTCGCTTGCCCATTGCCACTTAACAGCCTCCATAAAGCTCAACGTTATACAGCATAGGGATAACAGAGGGTGTTTGGTGTCGGTGTATATTTTCCTCTCCCCTGTCACTGAGACACTGCGACTCTTAACTGGCCTGCTACATGAAACAGTGGCTACCCCTCACTAACCATTGTTTAAATGGCGTCGTTTGTTCAGTGTCGCTTCAGCTCAAGCAATCAGCAGGACTCCAGCAGCATGAAACATTATCCACTTATCTAGTTGGACAGGGTTACATCCTCTGCCCTACAGTACATTACGGCATCAATATTAATGTCCACGTGTTAAATTGTTGAATATTTAGTGGCCTTGCGTAACCACAAAAAAAAAAAATGATAAAGAATTGTGGAAACTGAAAGAGTTGATTATAGTTTTCCTCGGCATTGTTTTTGATTGTTGTTTTTTCCAGTGGCCCTCTGCAAAACAACGTCCATAGTTTTCCTCGGCATTGTTTTTGATTGTTGTTTTTCCAGTGGCCCTCTGCAAAACAAAGTCAAAGTTCCGTAGCGAGTAATGATGAAGCACAGAAACAGTATTGACTGTCACTTCTCACTTGCGCAAAAGCTGAATTTACACATTAAAGATTTGAGCCACATTTGCTGGTATACACTTAACAGTGAGTGCACATTAACCGGTTAATGTAGGCCTACTGTTTGGTTATCAGTGCAGGGACCTTTGTCCCAGCCAGAAGCTGTTTTGGTTGCTGAGTGTTTCCTGATACGGTTCCTGGAAAGCATGTGGCAATGAAGAAGGACATCAGATAAAACCAGTGTTCAGTATTTCCTATAATTATGGTGGGATGAGGCAGAGGGGCGGGGGGTGTGGGGGGGGGTAGGACAACACACAGTATAATTACATCTCTTTGAGTCTCTTGCAGTGATACCCAGCGAATTATCCACTTTCACTAAAGTGGTCCAAAAAAATTGGTAGCAAGTAATGTATCTTTTTACATCTATCTTTGCCAGCAACCTATAGTGACAGACGGAACAATTAAATGGGCTTTCACCAAATGGCAGAAGGTAAAATTGACCTGTGTAGCCAACTGTTGCCATTCATATAACTGCATAGCTTTGTGTGAAACTAAACAGGCCTTCAGTATTCAGTATACAGTAACAGTAATCAGTATCATGATTTCAGTAAATTTCTGAGTAAAGTGAGATAAGTGCATCATTTTCCTTTGGCAAGGTGCCATGAGCTCACGTAAACGATGCGCCTCGGCTCAATAAAGATTGGGAAAGTTTGTTCAAAAGAAACAAATGGAAAAAAAAAATATGGTGTACAATGTTAAACGAAGGTGCCATTGTTAGTGTAAGCGCTCAGTGATAGCACAGTGCTTAAGTTGTGTGGAGCTCTTCTTGCTTCCATTGTTGTGATCCACTCAGGCTAAAAATAGCGGGCACAGGAAGTGCTGCGACCTTCAATGATGGCCGCAACCCTCACCCTACCCCCAAACAGTCTACCACCACTTATCAAATGTATTCCCCCTCTGCTCAAAGTCCAAATACTTCTGGATGTAACTATTTATGAGGAATGGAAAGTCACATGGCCGGTGAACACTGAGCAATTATTTTTTGCACGTGAGGGATGTGGTTTAAGTAGGTCATTTAGACAGTAGGGGCTGTGTTTATTTTTAAGCACGTGGTCTTTAAATTCACCTGACAATTATCGCTGGTGTCATTTCACAGAGGGCCCAGTACAATGGAGTCTTTCTGACAACGTAAGAAGACCCTATTTTTGAAGGTGCTTTTAATAGAGGCTTTTGATGACAACAGTACTCAGAAATAACTGGCGTCTGGCCAAACAAGTCCAACATTCAAACGCAATGTAGTACTTTGTGGAATAATGACAGGACTCCGCATACTCGGTTTAAAAATGCATTTCAGGTGTTCCATTTGTCACGAAACGGGAACATCGATTGACACCAGAACTCATCAACAACCTGTAGTGTCGTCAGCCGGTGGAGGTCATTCTCGTGATGAGCGCAGGGGGGGAACGACACAAGAAACAGAGCTGAGCTGAGCAACAGGGCTGTTTTTAACTTCAACAACTGACTCATCCCACTGGACAACGGAGTGATCCTTTACCCATATAAACAGATGGGAAGGCCCTCCAGTTCATTCAAGCTGAAAAAATGTTCTACGAGGTGGCGTTGATCGAGCTCACGGCTCTACACGGGAGCACAGGCAAGTTCAATATGACAATGTGTTTTTGAGCTCTCAGGATAGAGACGCGTGTATTGTCACCAAAAATCTGTATACTTCACCATATCTGCTTTGAGATCGGAGAAAAGTATCTGAAGTCAAATGCAATCAACTCACAAAATAATTTAATTTGCAATGGATGTTTTTTTTGGGGGTGGGTCTTTTTTTTTTGTTGTTTTTCTGGTTTGCTGCTACAGAGTACGAACATTTCTTATATTCTCATATTAACAAACATTGTTAACAGTACAGGTATTCTTATGCAGCAACATAACACGGTTCCCAAAAGTCATTTGAATCTTGTGGTCAAAATTCAGGTTGGAAAAGTGTTTTGACTGTTTCAAAGGGAAGGAAGTATATTTGCTCGCTTAAATTTGAATTGGACTGGACGTCATATGCCTCGTGATAATGATGTAGCCTCCAACCATTGACGGTAATGTTCCAGTTTTTCTCCGTTTTTCTCAGTTCTTTTGAATTTTTGTCATCTACTTGTTCTGTCCCACGTCATTTTGTCACATGTGCACATTTTATTTGCTCGCACGAGTATAAAGAAGCCTTTAGCCTGCATACCTCACATTATTTTGGCTGTTGGAGATAAGACTTACCGTCAATCAAACTAAAATCACAACATAACACTCTTTATATTTTTTATGTCCTGGTGATAAGCAACTCAACATTAATATTTCACAATATAAAAATAGCTACCGTACTATGAGGAAATAAAAGAATAAGGATACTAGTACAAATAATCATGTCCCGCCCGCGGTGATGAGACTTTTTTCCTCAGGTGAATCTTGACTTTTTCTCATAAAGGGAAATATGTGAAGCTTGAGATCACCCAATCATCAGCGGCTTTCCAGAAATAGCTCATTGCAAGTGAAGATAAACACTTACTCCTCCCTGCCTCAAAGGAGAAATAATTGTCATGCGAATGAGAACTTGTGGCCAAAGACCGTAAGAAGACGACACTGAAATTCCTATCGTGTTGCATGTACAATTTTCCCTTATATAAGGCAATTGCCTGATGTTCGTATCTCTATTTTTTTTAAAAATTCGTATTATCTTTGTGCTATGCAGCGCCGTCTTTTCCTTTCCGTACTACAATGAGATGGTTTGTCAACAAATTACAGTGCAACCAAATAAAAGTGAAATGTGAATCTTACCCAGTCTCGAACAATCAATCTACCACAGATATTCAAACTTTCAATTTGGAGTACCGGTACTGAAATTGTCAAGTGAAACGGCAGAGCAAGCTTCCCGAGTACACTTTGGCTGTCCTATCCATACACAATGACACAAAGATGATGTTCCCTTGTTGGCACGCACATGGTCTGTGAACACAAATATTTACTTTTGAGCAATGCACTTGGATTTTGAGAAAGAAACCGGCTTTTGCAGGGAAACCGTGATGTTTTGCATGTTGAGTACAAACTGTTTTGAGAGCTTACCGTTTTCCCAAATTTAAATTCTGATCTGAGAAATGCACCAAAGACGCTGAGAACAACTGCAATGATAAAAAAACTAAGGAAATGTATATCTGGCAGCTATATCTTCATTTGAATTACAGTCAGACCTCGGTTTTCGTCCATAATCCGTTCCAGAAGGCTGTTCGAAAACCGAAATTGTTGGCTTTCCAGAAATAGCTCATTGCAAGTGAAGATAAACACTTACTCCTCCCTGCCTCAAAGGAGAAATAATTGTCATGCGAATGAGAACTTGTGGCCAAAGACCGTAAGAAGACGACACTGAAATTCCTATCGTGTTGCATGTACAATTTTCCCTTATATAAGGCAATTGCCTGATGTTCGTATCTCTATTTTTTTTAAAAATTCGTATTATCTTTGTGCTATGCAGCGCCGTCTTTTCCTTTCCGTACTACAATGAGATGGTTTGTCAACAAATTACAGTGCAACCAAATAAAAGTGAAATGTGAATCTTACCCAGTCTCGAACAATCAATCTACCACAGATATTCAAACTTTCAATTTGGAGTACCGGTACTGAAATTGTCAAGTGAAACGGCAGAGCAAGCTTCCCGAGTACACTTTGGCTGTCCTATCCATACACAATGACACAAAGATGATGTTCCCTTGTTGGCACGCACATGGTCTGTGAACACAAATATTTACTTTTGAGCAATGCACTTGGATTTTGAGAAAGAAACCGGCTTTTGCAGGGAAACCGTGATGTTTTGCATGTTGAGTACAAACTGTTTTGAGAGCTTACCGTTTTCCCAAATTTAAATTCTGATCTGAGAAATGCACCAAAGACGCTGAGAACAACTGCAATGATAAAAAAACTAAGGAAATGTATATCTGGCAGCTATATCTTCATTTGAATTACAGTCAGACCTCGGTTTTCGTCCATAATCCGTTCCAGAAGGCTGTTCGAAAACCGAAATTGTTCGAAAACCGAAACCACGCTCTTTTTAAAAATAAAAATGTTTACTGAACACATCCGCTCACAATGTAAAGCAACACGAGGAAGTATCACTTCCTTGTGTAAGGAAGGCGAAAGGAGTCAAATGGTGCATTCAAATGCGCTCAGTTTGTTCGAGACCGAAATGTGTTCGTCATCCGAGGCATAAAAAAAAATAGAAATTTTTGGTCGAAAACCGAATTGGTCGAGAACCGAGACGTTCGAAAACCGAGGTTGGACTGTATTGTGAAAATTATCTTATTAACGTGAAAAAAAAATCCTTGAACTTGACCTTCTTATGTCAACCGAAGGCCCTCTTTGACGTGCCTCCGTGTTTGTTTACCGACTGGGAGTTGAGCTGCTATCAGCAGTGCGCTGGTCATTCATCATATCTTGCTCTCTGCTCTGCATGTCTGCCTCCTTCTGCATTTGCTGCAGAAGGAAGCGCTGTGTATCCTACCCAAATTGGAGGGGAAATCTGGGCAGTCATATGACCTCATGGCTTTCAATCGAAGCTGTGTGTCGCTTTGCTTCAGAATACTTAAATTTTCCATTGATCACTAGCTCGCTTTTCTCCATGGGCATCAACCGTATTAAACTCATGTACCTCCTACTTAATGTGTGAAGCGTGTCCACAGACTTTCTACTTGTTGTTTCACCTTGCACGGATGTGTGTCACAGCGTTCTAGTGGGTGTGGCGAGTGTGTTGTTTGATCCCCTTATCTGGTCTCTTCGACCCATATCTCTGTGCTCTAGTCTTCAGTTCTCAGTTGTTGCTTTTCTGTGTTCACAGAAGTACCAGATACTCCGACAATTTTTTTCTTTTTTTTTAAAGCTTGCATATAACTACTCGAGAGGACTTTGATAGCCTGAGTGTTTTGTTGGCAGTCTGATTGTGATCCCATGCCCTGTATTTGTGAAACAGGGCTCCAGGAGGAGCCTTCACTGGGCTCCGCAGGATGTGCGACCCAAGAGGAACTCTCGGAGCAAGCATCCCAGGCAGAGAACCTCGAGCGCCTGGCCCAGCTCTGCATCATGAGCAAACAGTAGGTAAAACTTCCACTGAGGAATAAAGATGTCATTGCATGTTCAGATGGACATATTTTTTTGATGGCTGTTGAACCACCAGAGGTTGTGATGTAGTCATGAGGTTGTCATGCAAGTCATTAGTTTTTTAAATAACAACCACAACTGTTCCATTCACTGTAACTCATTCAAGGCCATTTTTTAAATTATTATATATATTTTTTTAAGAATCCAGGCATTCAATCCCAGGTGATTGATATATTGCTATATAATTGATATATTTTTCAAAAATGTTCATGTGGAAGGGTAAAGAATGCTCTGAAAATAGCTGCCACTGAATAAATTTTTTCAAAAATATATTTTTTTAGCTTTATAAGACACAGTTTACTTAAGCCATAACAGTTTAAAAAAACAACAACAACACGGCACTCTATGTCGGTAGGAGGAATACCACACAAGGTGTCTCGGTCTGTTCTTTTTGGGGTTCAGTGATCAAGCTTGGGCTAAGGAGGTGAGGGGTCTGGTTTCGTTGAGGCTTGCCTGCGGTGTTTCTGTCGTAGAAATGGAACGGTTGTTCAACTTCTGCTGTGTACCTCAGGGAATCCCCTCGCATGGCAATACATGCAAAATTCAAGTCATGAAATGAGTTATCTTAGAACGAATACCGCCTTGAAGCATTAATGCCGCCATCACTCTTTCAGCAATGTCATTGGGAAGTCTTTTTCGATGTTCCTCGATCAGGTGTCCGCTACGGGCCGTTCAAAAGACGGAAATTTGACACCTGGCCATTACTAATTGAAGGGAAGTGTGGCTTTGGAAAAGCGAGTCTGACATTCTGTCACACTAAACAGAGCTTGCTCTACATGAACACGCAAGACGTGAGGGTGTGAGTGCGGCACATTGACGGCGACAGGTTATATATGAGGAGACACGGCTGGTTGACCTGCATATTTTCTGCATCGTGTCTACCTGGATGAACACTAAAAGGGTGGGTGAGAGGCACAAGCCCGTAAAACAACCTGCAGGCCAAGAATAGATCAATTTTGCACTTCCTCCCCAGGCAGCAACCTTCTCCCCGCATCTAATCCCATCAGGTGCATTTTTGAGGTTGGTCTCGATGCTGCACCTCAGACTGTGAAACAGATATAACGTTCACATGACAACCAACACGAGCCAACCCAGTTGACCCACATCGCTCTTGGTTTTCAATTTTCTCTTTGAAAACAGCGAAACAAGCCGAGTCAAACCAGTGAGTCTGTTTCAAATCGATATTTCACATTTGGCAGCAGTTGAAATTGAACAGAGATTTCAAAACTCATATTCAGACACTCGGAACATTTTAATCACCCGCAAAGATGAAATCAAATTCAATTGAGATCTACTGTAATTTGCTATTTTGAATACAGTACGACCTGAAGAATTACATTCTATAAATCTGAGACACGCGTCAGATTTATTTCCCCCCTTGCATCCTGAAAATATTGCGGGTGTGGTTTCAACGTGACCATCTTTTAGTGTACAAAGATTTTATGGCTGCTCTTGATATTATGGGTGGCACATGTTTAATTCTTGGCAAGGATACATGTGATTAATTACTTCTTTTTTTTTTATACCCCATTGTAGACCTCATCTTGCGCTAGAGTACAGTGGAAAGGTATGTCACTGCCCTTTTTTTTTTTTAACTCTTTCATGCACCATTTATGATAACCCGTAACCTGATAACAAACTGTCCACTGTAGTAACCGCTGTCCCTGAAAGGTTAAATTGTTATTTTGACAATATTTGATACATTCAGTTCTGATTTGGATTCCCTTCAGGCTGCAAAAATCCACCAGAGGGCCTTTGGTAACGACCACCCAATAACTGCCAGAAGCCTGGAGCTCATGGCCACAGTCTATGCCGAGATTGGCAAGACTGAATATTCAGGTAGGTCATACTTGTGTCGTTGAATGGGTTTGCCGACATTGTTGAGATTCTTTGGCAGCCGACTCAGCTACATGACAAAACAAGATAAAAGGTGCGCATACATATGGCGTCTAACCGTGTAAGATATAATATCTCTTTTTTCAAAATGAAAGAAAGGGCATTCGTTGTGTACATTCTGTTTGGGTTTACAGTGCTCTGGGTCCTCCATGCATGTTGGGTTCATTGAATTTTCTTCACCGAGCTCCAAGAACAACATGAACAGTCGAGGTTTAGCTTGCAGACATTTTACCCTATACCAGAAAAATACGGGAAAATAAACATGACTGCCCTTTTATTCTTTTGGGTCCACATTTCCATTCGTTCAAGTCAAACTATACAAGAACAGGTGGCGTTATCAATTGATTACATTATTCCTCACATACAGCATGCAAATCATTCAAGAGTTATTGTTGACAATGCTTATAAAACCTAGCTGAGGCAAGCATTAAGTTGGGGCAACCAAACTGAAGATTATTGTGACCTCATTTGACAGTATAACACATTATTCTGCAGTCGATGAAATGATTCTTGGTGAGTATCAGCGAACGCTTTGTTTGTTTTTTTAATTGAAGAATGTATCACTGTAGCTGGTGTGAACACAGTCAACTTGCTCAGAAAAAAAAAAAAGTTTGCATGTTTAATGTTGTTTGACTTGCCTTTGAAGCAGCCTGCAGTGTGATGCAATATTAGGAAGTAGTCATGTGTGACTATGTGTTGCAAGACTCCCTGGGTCAGCGTGTGTCTGCGCTCTCCAAACGCTTCGCTGCTGCTGAGTCAATCACGGAAACCGTCAACGGTTTTCCTCAGTTACATCCAGAGAAATACTCGGAGGTTCGCCACAGAAAGGACTTTTGCCACCAGCAGGAAGACAAAACGGAAAACAAGGTAGAGTCAGATCCACCTGCACACGCACACCACCTTCACGCACACACACACACACACACACACACACACACACACACACACGCCATTTGTCCTGAAGGGAGACAGTTCCTTTCCGCTCTTGGTCACTGTACATGCATATTGAACTGCCTCATGAAAAGCGTGTCAAAGTAACAATTTAGCCTGCATGTTTTTTTCAATTTATTTCTTTTTTTTTGAACATTCCGATTGCACTTTCAGTTCATCAATGGAAAAATTCCCACATCTATCCTCAAGAAGCCAAGCCCCACTCGCGGGTCAGTCACAGAAGCCCCCCAAAGCCGGAAAGGCGAGCGGAGGGTTCGATTCCGGGAGCCAGAGACCACGGTTCATGGTGAGGGAACAAGACAACAATGTGACCGAAAGAAACCATGCTGCCATCTGGTGTATCTGTTTGACTTCCATCAAAATGTTTTGCAGCCTGTCCAATAACTTCAACACATGTAAACTTCGAATGATGAAAATACCTTATATCCGACATTTTTAAATTCGATGAAAAGGTCACATAAAAATCTTGATTTCAATGGCTGTCAAGCATGATAATCAGACAAGACGTGGGTTTTCTCCGGGTACTCAGGTTTCCCCCCACATTCTTAAAACATGCCTGGCAGGTTAACGGAACACTCTAAATTTTCCCTTGGTGTGCGCGGATGGTTGTTCGTCTTATGTGCCCTGCGATTGTCTGGTAACCAGTTCAGGGTGTCCCCCGCCTACTGCCCCAAGACAGCTGGGATAGGCTCCAGCCCGCCCCATGACTCTTGTGAGGATAAATGGATTAGAAAATGGATGGATGGAGGGAGGGAAGATTTATTGATGGTCAAAATGTGATCATGGAACAGATGTATTCCGGATCATGTTTTCTAAATCCGAAAAAAGGTGCACCAAAACGGATTGCAGCAGCTCCACTGTATTTGATTACTGATACCATTTGCCATTTCGCCATGTGCAAACTTCCCCCGTTCATCCATTTACAATAGAAGGTGCACGGGTTGCTCCAAATAAGAGGACTTTGTACTGTCTTACTGCTATGACAAAATAAATAAATAAATTCAATGCAGATAGATATGCGATAGACACTAGCAAAGGACTTTCTCCTCAATTAATTATGCATGTAAAAAAGTCTCCTCTGGCGGGAGAGCAAAATCTCCAGAGATTAAACAGCCAGCTGTAACTGCAGAGCATCCCGGATTTTGCCTCCTTCCACCTGACACGCTGCTTTTCTGTCGGCTTCACAGACATTCCTTCCTGTGATGACACAGGTGGTAAGTCTCACTTGATGCATGAGCAAGTGTCAGCAGTACTGCACTTTTTTTTTTAACTTTTTAAAATTTGGATGGACTCAGCAAGTATCACAGGTGGGCTGGGTATCGAATCATTCACTTATTCCTGTCGTCACTATGTAGGAAATTGCTATTGCATAATTGCAATGTACCAGATCAGCTGGCTTGCCTTCTGTGCAAAACATTGACCAAAGAAATTAAAGCGCATTACAATTTGTATGTTCTTTTAAGTTGAGTTTATTACAATATGAACCCTTTCATGCACCCTGTTACCTGATAACATGATACGCTGTCCACTGTAGTAACCGCTGTCCCTGAAAGGGTTCATCTAAACAATGCATTTTATATCCATCTGTGTTGTGACGTATTGCGCTACATATATGATTCTTATAATTCATATATTTGGGGCAACCCTGATAAATGTTTCTCGTGCTGAAAATCAAACAATATCCCACAAACTGGAAAGATTTTTTTTTTCCATACCAGCTCAATGCATCATGGGCTATGTTTGATTTTCTAGTGAACCATCGTTGTTCATTACTTTTCAAGAACACTGGGGGATAAATTCGGGCTAATACATATACGGGATAAGGAATCACGACACATTCGAATGGCACAACAAAATGATCAGCTCCTTATTTCAGACATGTAGTGGAGCGGGAGTGATTGCAAACACGGACTTGTCCTATTCCCCTTCTCACATTATCACAGTGAGTGTGTGACAATGCTGCAGTGTGAATGACACTTAACATTCAAAATAGTTTTGAGCCAACAAGGACTAGTGTTTATTTTTGTCCAAATCGTCTTCTTTATTTAATCTTATGTGTCTGTTCTGTCTGTGTGCGTGTGTCTCTGTGTGTGTGCGTGCGTGTGTGTGTGTGTGTGTGTGTGTGTGTGTGTGTGTGTGTGTGTGTGTGTGTAGCCTTTGTAGCCTATGAAACGACACCTTCCCGCCCTCACCTGTTCCTGTTCACTTGCCTGTTCCTGATGATGTCCTTCCTGGGCGTGGCCATGTACTGCACAGGCCGGCGGCATCCACAACGAGTGTGCGAGCAGCTGGAGGCCACTCTGGCCGTTTACCTGCTTCACATGAAGCAGCTTGTTTGGGGTTGTTGGATGTGGTTGACCATGCAGTTATGAAGACCAGTCACAGGACAGGACATCCTTTGTGGTGAGACATCTAGCTCCCACGTGTGCAAAGCTATCGGATTTATTTGATATCCATCTTAACGTCCATGAATGAGTACACTGTAAATTCAAAGACAATGCATCTGCACAATGGCGCCACTGCTGGGGGATCCTGATTTTCCGATCAGTGCAAGAGGGGCAGAGCGATCGGGGACATTTGGGCGGTCTCCAAGTGGTTCATCCCAAGAATCCAATATGCAACGAGCGCGCTTCATTTGAAGGCAATTAAAGGAGCTGCTTTGTTTGGCCATGATTGAAGTCAGCTGTGACCACTCCCAGAGTGGCGCAGTACACCCTCTCGCAGTTCCACCGACCTTCATTCATCTGAGAAATTACCAACATCGGGTCTAACCTGCCTCCAAGTTACGCCACACGCCGCACAGGATTTCCACCAGTCGCTAAGATAGAGCCATTGGTCCTCACTAGTAAGACAATTCACCAATACTAGTAATGTTTCTTTTTCCACTGCTAGTGCTATTTTTTACTAAATGACTGTGCTGTACTAGTAACACCAAACAGGAATCGTGTATTATGTAATAGTACTCTTCTGGATCCCACCTGTAGCACCAAGATAACCCATAGTATGGTCTCACTAGAAGTATGTAGTTCTACTAGGATGTCAAAATTGTTCTACCAGTGTGCAAAAATGTCACAGAGTAGTGGAAAAAAATTACTATAAGATACGGACATTCTATTAGTGTGTTTATTTGTCTTACTAGTGAAGGCAAAGTGCATACTAGTACATGGACCTTAAGCTGGATAACAAGGACATCAATTAAATGCTCAAATGGCTTTTCATACCCGCGCTGATGCTCGTGTGTATGTGACGTATGCATGAACACCTCAATGGGGTCGCTCTGGCTTGTTGCTCCTATTCTTCAATTTTGCACATTTACGCTCACATATTCCTTGCCATACTTGATTCCGCAGCTGCCCTCTATTGTACGTATTGTATAATTGTATGATGCAAGTATTTATTTTTGTACAGAACATGATTTGTGTATAGAAGACATGAAACTGAATGTGTCAGTAACAAATATCCTGAAATTCTGCTTTATACGTGTCCTTTAATAAAGGTAAATGATATTCAACTTACTGGACATAAAGTGACAACACTCTCGCACAATCCAGTGCAAGTGTTACATCAGTGATGTCGTCTTTATAAAGACAATAATGCTCAATTTTGACAGTTTTTGAGTTGTGTTTTGTAATATTGTAGCCACGACAATTGCATTTTTAGATGCACTACTTGTATGGGACCGCATTAGCTTGTGTAGGTGCCTTTAATGTGGCCTGTAAGTGTATTTGGCAGCTGTGATACGGGTGAAATGAGGAGGAGGAGGAGGAGGAGATTGCTTTCTGTCTCATTGCAAGACCGGTTGACAATCCATCTGGAAAGCACATCTGATCAGACTTCGTATAAGGTTTCTAATTGTGGACTTTGGGCTATAGGTTACATTTCTTTCCAAAAGCAATAATCCGTTTTCGTTTGTGGTGTCTGATCAATGTCTGGGTGAGTTACAGTTGGAGCATGTTCAACTTGTTTGGTGATTTTGAGGCAATACACAGACGACAAATACAACCAGTTATGTGAGTCTCCTTTATCAAAGCATAACTCACACCGCCATACACATTTAATTTATAGGAGCACAACACACGGTGTACTTTTCGTTATGAGCAATAACAGATGTCTCCGTATTTACCATTGATGAGTAGTTCTTCATGGACTTTATGGAGAGTGGATTATGTCAAGGCAATATTGAATATATAATAACTGTATGGAAGCAAATAAGGGTTATTCTTGAAAAAAAGATCCCAAAATAAGACATTTGGGCGCACATTAACTTGGTAGCATTTTGCATTTGGTCACTTTGTATGAAGTGCCTTCACGAAGGGTTTTCTTGGTTCCTTCTCTTTTATGATTTCAGTTGTTTGGAATAAAACTCATCCAATGGTGGTCGTCTTTCTTGTGAGATGCATGCAGTCATTTTTCTGCTTTTTTTTTTATGGCACACAGTATGACTGTTTAATGCTGACAGTAAATAGTAGGGAGTAGCCTGAGATACGGTTTGACACAAGTTGCGAAAAGCATTTGGGGACAGACTGCAGAAGTACAGTTATTACTGTACTATTATTTTTTTAATAACTATCATTAAGTGCGGGAACATCACAAAAGCATGCTGTTTTATTACTTTTGCCGCAGCATGCAGGATGAAGTGTGGACTTCGAATAACACAAGAGTCTCATTGATTGGCATAGAAAACGAGATATACAGTATGATCCATTTAAATCTAAAAGCAACTGTAATATTATTTTGCCATGCATTTGGTCTCATGCACAAGCTTTCATAAAGTAATGATCGGACCACGTGTCCAAGCCTTTAACAGCGTTTCTGAGTCTCAAACTGGGAGTGCATTTGCAACAACTGGCGTTGGTACGAGCTCGACCATCAGATTAAAAGAGAAACTAGTGGGTGAATGGACTCAATCAAGGAAGGATTAACAACAACGCGTGGATTTTCTTTGGGGGAAATCAATCAGCTAGAGGACAAAGATAAACCCTTCTATTCACTCTCTGCACAACGGGAGCAAAAGTCAACTGATATTGATTGTCAACAGAGGCAAACATTGGCGAGTCTCATGGCAGGAAACTGTAAGTGTGTGTTTGTGTGTGTGTGTGCGTGCATCTTCTGCTTTCTAGATGAGGCCGGTTTTGAGGTCAGAGTTGCGGCGAGAGGAGCGTCCGAGCAGCAGATCCTTCTCGTGGATGAGGCTGTCCAGCAGGTCTTCTTGTCTGTAGTTGTGGTAAACCTTGAGAAAGGCCAGCACGGCGATAGCAAGCCAAGTGAGCCACGCGGCCCACAGGCCAAACTGCAAGAGGGGCAGAAATGTGTTTTCATGACGAGTGACAAGAGGTTTTTTGTTGGCTCTTTGGGATGATGACAGGGGAACTTACCTGAGCTATTGCAAACTGGTCATAGAAAGCAGAGTTGTCCAGGCCAAGTTCTAGGTCAGTGTCCTGCATGTCTTCACAGCTACATAAAATTGGAAATGTTATTTTCACAAAATAACATCATAGAACTAGAACACTCAGTAGCGCACATGTCAACCTAAGTGTCAGGATGACTACCGTGTCGTGTCTAGTGGTGACTATTGGGACCTGGAAAATAAGCCTGAACAATTAATCAAATTCAAATGCACAGCGCAATGACAGAATGCAATTTTCAAATCGCAAAGGCTGCAATTTTGAAAAGAAAAAAAAACTCAGCTTCTTTTCACTAAGTCAGAAGGATTTATTTATTTAGTTTTTAAGGCGAGATAATTTCAGCATTTGCAAACATTAGCGTGTGTGTGTGTGTGTGTGTGTGTGTGTGTGTGTGTGTGTTTATTTTTCATCATTTGAAGTCATGTATCCTCAAACATTACATTTACACCGCAATGATAAATCTGGTTGACCAACGAGTGACCAGCGTTGGTTTACATTATCAGCCAAGCGTGCTCGGAACTCTGGCTGACCTACGAGAAATCCGACTTGGATCAAAACATAGCCTTTACTCTTGGTTTTGTGTTTGTTTATGTTGTGATTTGTGATTAAAAAAATAAATAAATAAAACGTGCTGGGTCACTCAACCTGCTGGGCATGGTGCCACCCTCGGTGATGGAGTCGCACCACAAATTGAATCCCACGCTGACCATGGTGCTCGACAGGAAGACGGTGAACACCACCAAGGAGCTAATCAGCAGGTTGAGGAAGGCATTGAAGATGGAGCTGCAGAAAAAAATTGTGGGCAATTATTATCCATTCACTCATTTATTTTTATTTTTTTTACAGCGCTTGTCCTCATTTGGGTCTTGGGTGGGCTGGAGCCTGTTGCGCAGTATGGATAGAACTAACCGTTCACAGTCGCATACATATCGATGGAAAATTTTGAGTCTTCCACTATCCTGACATGCATGTTATTAAGCCAGAGTACGAGGAGCATTCACCATTTCACATAATCGCAAACTTTTATGGAACTTTGGTGCCACCAGGCATCTAGGTGTGAGTTATTTGAGGAGCTTCACTAAGGCAAAAGTAGTACTTAGTTGTACTTTGTGCCAAGGAACCATTTTGAAGTGAGCTCAGGTGTTTAAAATAATTGTTTTGTGCCATCTTGTGGCATTTTGGTCCGTTATAAACCTTTAGGGGATGTCACTTGCAAATTTTTCACAATTCGCAGCGGGTCTTGGTCCTGATTACAATAAGTGACAGACAAGTTAAGGCATCAGCAAACTATGTGGCTGTTTGGGTTTCCTAGCCATTAGAGCCCCCCAAAAAAGAGATTATGTGTCATGTTTTTGTTTCGATTACATTTGGTTTTGTTCTCTCATGTGCCCTTTTTGTCTCCACCTGTTCTCGTCACCTGAGTCGTTTGTGTTGAACCAATCAGCTCGCTGAACCCTTTGTGTCTTGTACAGGTGTTTCTCATTGTCTCGTCACTTTGCTTGTATTTAGTTCCCTGCGTTCTGTCAGTCTTGGTCAGATCATTATGTGTGTCATGTTTTGCTTCTGTCATAGGTTTCTGTTTGTTTCTTTGGTTCCTTGTGGTTTTCAGGACTTTGTTTGTATACTTTAGTTAGTTTTTTTTTCCCCCCCCCAGTGTACTCCTGTTTTTGTTCAACACATTTTGTCCACCCTCCTTCTCCTGCCTCCCTGCTTGTTGGGGTCCTCCAGCTACCATCATGCAATCCATGAAATAATCCTTATAAGAATAATTATTATCATTATTATTATTATTATTTTATTATATGCAACACATGAAATCAAATTATGCTTAGAGCCCTATAAAGGCATGGGCTGGCAGTATGTGTTTCCTCCATTTTTCTAGCGTGACATATATTCTGCTGTGTTTCTGTTTGTGATGCTCAAAGTAGCATGCAATCGGGGCGTTAGATGTGGACGATGTTGAAATGAGAACAAGTGCACGGACAGTACTCACTCGTCATGTCCTTTGCACAAAAAGAACAGCAGCCTCCAGGCCTGCACTGCGGACAATATGAGGGAGGCTATCCCGACAAAAGCGATGAAGCTGCAGGAGGACTCGGCTCCCCACTCCTCCACGATGAAGCGCTGCTTCGACACCGTGATGTTCTCATTCTGCCACATCCCACGAGTGAACAGCAAACATTTGCCACCGAAGTCCTCCGTATTTTCGGACAGAGGCACCACGGCGATGAACCCAAATAGGAAGGCTAAAAAATAAAGAATGCACTGAGCGAAAATTAAATTATCGAGGGCCATTTTATCCGTCTCCCTCCTCAGTGCAGGGTCCTGCAGCGGTTGCGCATGCGCAATGGGGGCAGGTGCCGCATCCGAAGCACCGACGTGATTCGAAGACTCACTGCTCTGAAAACTAACGAGCACCGGAGGCCCACAAGCCACATTGTTTTTAATACGTCTTTTTACACCTGTTCTGCCTAATACTACTGTCATTGGCATGTCTGACATTAATAGAACTGTTTGTTGGGGGGGTGGGGGGCGGGGCTATCAAACATATACGCACGTATGCTTTATGACTACACCACACTCGTCCAGCGTTGGATTCTGAGAGGTTGTTTTGTTTGTTTGTTTGTTTTGCGCAATTAAAGCCACACGTTTTTATATGTATTTAATCTCTATAAAAAATAACGAGACAACCAAATTCCAGGTCCAGTGTCAAAAGCATTCCTGTGTATGTATGTATTTAGTTATTTAAATGCAAAACCATTCACTTAATGTTTGCTCAATGTAATATGTTTGTGTTTTTACTAATCGACTACATTTATGTTGACTGGATTTACATTATATAAGTCCGTCATTTCTTTATTAATTTAAAGACATTACTTCATTCATATATCCAATTTTACTGCAACAGGCACCATTTATATGGTTTTGCCTCCAACTATTTTCAAGCGACTCCTTTTACAACACCGAGAAAATTTCATTAGAAAAAAAAAGCTTGTGCCGAAAGCGTTCAAAATGAATGAATGAATGAATTTAATGCAGGCTCCATAAAATATTTTCATAATCATGATTTTAAATGTTCATGTTAGATTAATTTAATATTTTTAAATATGTAAGCAATTAATTTAGGGTATTGATTCAGGGGTTGCTGCTGTGACCACTGAATTTTCCAATTCATAATTAAACATCTGTGTATTTAATAGTT